CCCTCATCTCCGGAGTTAACATCCTGCCTCTCCCCATTATCAGCCTTCTTTCCACTCCCCTCTCTTCCTCCTGGTCTTCATCTCTGTCTTCCCTGTAGTCCATACTCCCCATGGACTCCTTTCCTCCTTCCACCATAAGGGGTTTACTCTGCCTTACCAGCCTCTCGCTGACCGCGATATTTTCCATTTGTTTCTCCAACTCCATCTCAGTATCCATTTTATCTCTTTGCGACAACTGCGTTAGTAACAGCTCCTGCTTCCTTTCCTTTTTACGTGCCATCTTTCTTGCGATGCACAAACCAGGTTTATCCCACACAGCTAGCCACCATGTGACAGATACCCATGGGGTGAAGTATCCTTAGTCCTTTCTCTCTCTCTGGGTTCTTTCGTTTCTGGTTGTGCGCGATCGTGATGATAGAATAACTCAGGAAGCAAGTAGAAAGTTTTCGACCAAGGCTTTACTTAATGCTCAAAAGGATTATGATAAAGCAAGCTGCAAATTAAAAATCACTCCGTAGGAGCAGACAATCAACACATAAAAGTGAAAGCAGGGTTATGAACCCTCATCGCCTAAGTAGCCTTACGTAGATGTGCTTTGGTGGCGAGAGGAGTGGACGAGGAAACTTCCCTTCGCACGGCTGAAGAAAGGCTTGAAACCGCAGCTTTCTCAGGTGACCTGTTTAAGGCAGACCAGCAACGATTCGAGGTAGACATTCACTTCACCAACGCTCCCCCCATCCTTCTTCCTTTCACTCCTCCAGGACTAATCTTAAATACTTTTCCCGGAATGGCCTCCACCCCTCTCCACAGGTGTTAACAATTTAGAGCCCCACTTGGAATTACTTAACACGGTTTGTAAAGGTTACAGTACAGGATACAAGCTGGGGCTCTTTCCCTCGATCTTATCTAGTTACAAAGGTTTATTACTCTCTAACACCTAAAGTTTATTTTTCCAGCCGGTCATAAATGCCTTGTCCACATCACATTGAAGTGGGAGTCAGAATCTTCTTTCACCTACTACAGAGAACAGGGAAATATGCAAAAGGATGATTACTTCTCCCAATCCTGGATCTCTGTCACACACGTGGAAGTGGAAATTTGGTACCGAGAAACTGAAATTCTTCCCCACATTTCTGAAAAGAAAAACGGAGTAGATGAAGGGCCTTTCTTTTTTTTTAAAATGTAATCTATTAAGAGTTCTTACTTCAGTAAAGGACAAATATAAAAATATATAAAGAAAAGAAAGAGAAAAAGAAAGAAAAAGTGCAGAAAGCATAACAGTGAAAGAAAGAGCGATAATTAAAGAAACAAGGACCAGAAAAAAATAAGCGACTTCAGACCTTCTTTTCAACAGTTCTAAACAAACTCATCACACTTCCTCCCTCTTACAAAAATCCTTTCAGCCCCTTGTTCAATCCTTTTTCAATTGTCAAACCCAGAAATCATATTTTTCTTTTTTCCATTTTCAGCAAAAAGTCCATAAAAGGTTTCCAGTCTTTTATGGAAGTACCTTGAGGCTGCTGTTATTAGAATAAGGGGGGAAATCACCAGGGGAAGATGAGTAGAAAGACTTGCAAAATGTTTCCATTAGAGGAAGCATGCATGAACTTGTATGTCAACATGCATCCATGTTTTTTTGTCTGCCAACATGTTACAGTGAGAAATGGGAGCAGTTTAAAGATATTACAATTTCCCTGGCCTTCTGTTTTATCTTGTAGGATTCCTACAAGACTACTTAAAACAGTGTTAGACTTTTCATTCATTCAGGCTAGTATTGTCTCCTTTGGCAATAGCTCTCCAGCGTCTCAGGATGAATTCTTGCTTTTCCTTTGCTATTAGAAGGCCCTTGCTCACGTCCCCCATCTTCAGCTCATTTCAGGTTAGGCTTAGCTGTTCCAGTTTGAAACCAGAAAGCCAAGGAAACAGGCACATGGATCCTCAAACAAACCAACCCAGTGGTCTCCCTCGAAGTACAAAGGAACAGACTCAGATTATCCTACTTCAGGTACAAGATGGGAAGGTCTCTGGAGAAGGCTCTAATGCTGGGAAAGGTGGAAGGAAAGAGAGGAAAACTATGACTGTTCTAACATGGTACTTTTGCTCTCCCAACTCTCATCAGTACTTCCTGCTTGGTCAATCCATAATTACCTCAAGTTGGGGAATTATTGTTACATACTTTGTTTACCATCTCGCCAGAGGAGCCAGTTTCACAAGCCATGACTATAAAATCCACTAGCCATTGTAGAGAAGCCATCATCCTCCAGGGAGCTGCAGCAATGAAGGCATTAGTGCTCACCCTCCTCTTCCTCCTCCTTGCAGCCAGCGAGGCCATAGAATTTACCAGATGTGCACTGGCTTCAACTCTGAAACAGCTTGGACTGGATGGATATCACGGCTACAACTTGGAGAACTGTGAGTTCAGTCTCTCTTTCTCTCCACCTGCGCAATGTCCAGGTTTGCAAGGGGAATTCAAATGGGGCAGTTCAGCCAGCCTGACAATGAATAAAAAGCTCTTCTCAATTTTCTTAGACCTGGGGGACCTCACGATTCTTATTTTAATGAGGGTGATCAATATTCAGTTTGTTGCCTGTTTGGGGCAAGAGCAGAACTGCAGTACAGTTAGGCCTCTTTTGCCTCTTTACTGTCTTTTTACAAATCACTGGCATAGCTAATAGTTTATTTGGTTTTTTTAAAAAAAGGGGGTTATACCTGCCAGGATAAGCATCCTCTGAGAGGGAAGTTCCTTCAAATCCTCCAAAATCGATTCAGTTTGGAACAGGGTTCAAGGGGCCATCCCAGAAGATTTTGGCAGTGCGAAAGACGCACAGTGGAAAAGTACCTCCTCCCTGGAACGCCAGGATTATGGAAGGAGAAGAAAGGAGAGGTGGCGTCATGTGCCACTAAGAACCCCAAGAATACTTTTGAGACAAGAATCAGACTTATTCCAAATTCCCCTGAAATTTCCAGAATGTATGGGACTTCTTGGTCCTTCCTTGGTTGGGTGATGAATGAGAAGATGGTTAAATGTTCTGTTGCTATTAAAAAATTCAGAGTAGCACTTTCATTTACAGCAGAGGCCTTTTCCAGTCCTTTCCCTCTTTGCTTTCTTCCAGGGATCTGTATGGCTTATCATGAGAGCAGGTACAACACCCAAGCTGTGGGGCCACCAAACTCGGATGGCAGTCGCGACTATGGGATTTTCCAGATAAACAGCCGCTGGTGGTGCAACAATTACCAGGGAATTACAGCTAATGGCTGCAATACACCTTGCAGCGGTAAGCCACATAGCATAGAGGAGAGATAACCTTGATAAAGGAATCAAGAGTTCTTAAGAGAACTGTTAAGATAAAGGTGATGAGAAAGTCATGAGAACTCAGTCCTGGGAAAGG